GCTAAATAAATAACATGCTTAGCTAGCTAAATAAATAACATGGTTAGCTAGCTAGCTAAATAAATAACATGCTTAGCTAGCTAAATAAATGAATAATATGCTTAGCTAGCTAAATAAATAACATGGTAAGCTAGCTAAATAAATAATATGCTTAGCTAGCTAAATAAATAACATGCTAAGCTAGCTAAATAAATAAATACCATGCTAAGCTAGCTAAATAATTAACATGCTTAGCTAGCTAAATAAATAACATGCTAAGCTAGCTAGCTAAATAAATAAATAAATAACATGCTTAGCTAGCTAAATAAATAACATGCTAAGCTAGCTAAATAAATAAATAACATGCTTAGCTAACTAAATAAATAACATGCTAAGCTAGCTAAATAAATAAACATGCTTAGCTAGCTAAATAAATAACATGCTAAGCTAGCTAAATAAATAAACATGCTTAGCTAGCTAAATAAATAACATGCTTGGCTAGCTAAATAAATAACATGGTTAGCTAGCTAATTAAATAACATGCTTAGCTAGCTAAATAAATAACATGCTTAGCCAGCTAAATAAATAACATGCTTAGCTAGCTAAATAAATAACATGGTTAGCTAGTTGAATAACATGCTTAGCTAAATAAATAACATGTTAGCTAGCTAAATAAATAAACATGCTTAGCAAGCTAAATAAATAACATGCTAAGCTAGCTAGCTAAATAAATAAATAAATAAATAAATAACATGCTAAGCTAGCTAATTAAATAACATGCTTAGCTAGCTAAATAAATAAAAGGCTTAGCTGCTAAATAAATAACATGGTTAGCTAGCTAAATAGCATGCTTAGCTAGCTAAATAAATAAATAACATTCTAAGCTAGCTAAATAACATGCTTAGCTAGCTAAATAAATAAATAAATAACATGCTTAGCTAGCTGAATAAATACATGCTTAGCTAGCTAAATAAATAATATGCTTAGCTAGCTAAATAAATAATATGCTTAACTAGCTAAATGAATAATATGCTTAGCTAGCTAAATAAATAACATGCTAAGCTAGCTAAATAAATAAACATGCTTAGCTAGCTAAATAAATAACATGCTAAGCTAGCTAAATAAATAAACATGCTTAGCTAGCTAAATAAATAACAT